CATACATGTACCATTGAGAAACACAAATTTTGCTCTCTCCATATTAAAAATTGCTTGGCAGAATCAAATGATTGACAGTGCAAAAAAACCCTGAAGTACTGCACTGATGGAATGGCAAGTTTGTGCTGGAACATGGCAACCCACTTCTAGACACTGCTGTTCTGCGTAGGAAACTGTGGGCACTGCTGGAGATGGATGGAAGATGTCAGAGGGCCTGTCTTCGGCAGGGAACTGTTCCATCATAACAGCCTGCTGTAATGTGTGCACAGCAAAATTTCTAGCAGCACTGAACCCTCGTGGATTTTTGCAGGAGAATATACCTGGCCCTCCACAAGTCACACCACAAGATTCAAAATGGAGCTGAAGTGCAAGAAAAGGCAGTTAAAAATTGGGCACTTTACCCTTCTGAAGAAGAGGATAAATAGGTGTGTAGTGAAAAAAATGGATTTATACATTTCTATAAAACAGGCATTTAACAACTCTTATTCATCTATGACACTGTAGTCTTCCTGTCTTTTATTTTTCTACTTATTCAGGCAATAATGCTTCTTTAATATGGAAATCAAAGATTGCTTTTGCACTACCCATTCATAGTAACAAAAGGAGTAACTAGTACTACGCTTTCCCATGTGGATCATCAACTTCATGAACACAAGTTCACAAGTTGCACATAAGTTAACAGGCCTGGAATGCCTTGGGAACCTAGCCCTGGAAAAGACCCAGCACAGCTGGGTCATGCTTTCTAGCTGAATAAACTACTTGTGGAGTTTTTTCTGCCCACCCCAAACTCCCTAATTCTAACATCGGAAGCATTGGAGAACACTAAAATTGATCTGTTTTTAAAGTTAACTCTTTAAAAATATATCTCTTTCAACAACTTAGTTAACCAACAGCAGGGGAGGAAGAACCTAATCTATACTTATCTCATGTTAAGACTCTTTGCTTAGAGATCAAGAGATCACCTTGGATCAAGTGCAGTGTTTAATAAAGCATCATCTGACCATTCACAGAATGGCTGAGGTTGGAAGGGACCCCTGGAGATCATCTAGTCAAGCCCCCTGCCAATATCCTGCTGGGAGACTGAATGATCCAGTAGATATTCCTAACTATTAGCTTGATCCTTAAAATATGAGCACATAGGCCTCATGACACTGAAGTTTTTAATCATGAATGTGATAAGACATAACTATATTACAACTAAGTTTAACGTGAGTTCATTATTACTTAATCCCTGGGCTTGCTTTCTACTCGCTCGGCTCCTGCAAGAAGTCCTTTCTTGCTAGATTCCTCTGAGAACCCGTTCTGTTTTACAAGGTTGGTTACCTTGCCAATTATCAAGGGAAAGAATTCATCTGCTTCTTTAAAGTAGAGCCAATGAGCCTTTTTAGCAATGGCCAATTATGAAAAGATTCACTTTTCACTTCATGATAAACAAGATATTTATGTCATCATCATGACAATTTCTTGTGAAAAAAGCATGCACAGATCATGATGAAGAAAAAAAGTACTGAAGAATTTGCTTTTTTCCCCCAGTTTCTTCAAGATTTTCCCATTTTTCTTCCTTTATTTTTAATACTTTTTTTTTTCCATGTCATTGCTTTAAGTTTACTCACACCTAAGTGAGCTGACAAATCACAAACTCAATATCTTATAATCTCACACACTAGTAAAATGCAAAAATCAACATGAAAACAAGCTCTGTGTCACCTAATAATAGTTACTGGCTTAGCCTAGTTAAAAAAAAATAAATCAAAATCATTAGATTGTAGCTAACATGTTTCTCCAATTTTCCATCCTACAGAGGCTTTCTGGTGGTTGTCTTTCTGATTATTTGTTTTAAGAAGTATGTAATTATATTCATTGTCTATTTTCTCCACTAAGATACCTGCACCAGGCCAAAGAGTTTCGTAAGACTTTAAGAGGTAGAAAGAGGAATGAACTAAGAAGTTTGTCTACTTTAACCTGGTTTGGAAGTCACCTTTTTCCTTCTGACAGAATATACTGTAATTACTACATTATGTTACACTAATCCACATCCTAATAAATTGTCATTAATGTTAGTGTTTAATTTTCTCAAGCCTGGTTTGTTCAAGGTTGTATTTTACAATATTCACTGGAATTGTGCAATTCATAATTGATAGTCTAACAAAAATCCAAAATGTGATGGAGATGAGGTGCAGTCCCTTCAGTTTAAATCACATTCAAGCATCATCACTTTGTGTACTTTGACACATTAAAATAACTACCTTAATCTTTATGTGCATTAGGATTGAATCGCCCAGTGGACATAGGGAATTTAAACTACCGAAAATAAGTGAGCTCTGCAGACAATGACATCCTGTCCAAGGGTTCATTGAGGGAAGCTTTAATTTGTGCTTAGGGCTTCATGGGAGCCCTACCAGTAGAGGTGCCTTGGGGACATCGTGAACTCATATTGCCATAACATGCATGCATGTGTGTGTGCGGGAGGCCACACTAGTCACAGGTAAGACAGACAAATGAAATGGTAGCATCCCCCATCAGCTTTTCTATTATCTGCCCCACTTTGTGCCAATTTCCTCTAGCTTCCCCAACACCTCTTGCTTTGCTGTTCTTCCTTAAGACACGGGATGGGGATTTGTCAAAGTCAATGAGCACTTTATTACAGTGAGAGTGCTCAGTAATGAACAATTCAGCAATTTAATGAGATTCTGTAGATCTGTCTCCAACCTGTCCATCAAGTTTCACTTCTATAAAGCACCCTGACACTAATCCTCTGGCATACCCAATCTTCACCCTGGGCTGAATATTAGATTCTTCCATGGTATATTGCATTACCACTATAACCTTAGCAAAAATGATGAACTTAACTACACTTGAGGCAATATAGCCAGTCTGATTTGATTTTCCTCTATTGGGTTGACTATGAGGGAATTACTTATTTACTAAGATAAAGCAAAAACAGTTTCTTATTGCCTTCTGAATGCCTAAATTGGTAAATATTTATGTATGTCTTTTAATTCATCCTGGGGACCTGGAATATTTATAAAATATATATTTATTCCTGGTTGTACAAACTGAATTAAAAGACACACACACATTTTGCCTGCAGCAGAAAACCAGTTTAAAAAATTCTTCGTAACAGCATTAGTAACCTTTGGAGAGGCAATTATGATAACACTTAAATGGACAGTGTGGAGTTTGTTGTCACTCAAAAAGCAGCATATTACCTATAAGTATCTCTCCCCAGTATGACCCTGCAACAGAAACATAGGCTTTATCAGATTTGCCTCATGAAGCTAATTAACCGGAGTGCACACAATTAAGAATATTATTTCTGAGTTCTTTCTACGGGACAGGACAATGGCACAGGATTTAAAAAATCACTTTCCAAACTTTATTCCAGTAGCCTGCATGGCACACAGGATCCTGTGTACACTTTTTCATTAGTGAGCTGGCATTAAATAATATCTACATGGCTTTCTGTAGGAATTTTTCTAGCAAAAGTATCTCCAAGCACATAGGTAGTGAACCTGCAGTGAACCTGTAGAAAAACAACGATAAAAGCAAATTGGCCAATCAGCCATGCCCCATATATGAACTTGTACATCAAAAACTTTTCTGATAAACAGAATATGGGCTAGGACTCCAGAGTATCCTGCCTAAAAACAAAACAAAATGAAACAAAAACCTATCACAGGTAGTGTGCTGCAGGTTCTCTTGTAATGACATCCTCTAGAGAGCAGAGCAAGAAAGAGCCTAGCTTTATATTACTATCTGCAGAAAATACCTTTGTAAAATACTCCATAATCTAGCCGCAAAGTTTTGGGAAATGGTGTATCAGTTATCAGACTGAAGGGTTAAGTTGCACTTGCATACTATCTTTGTGGTTTGAAGAGCTTAACTAGGCATTTTTATTTTTAAGAACACTTTGTTCCTGCATGACATTATTCATCCACAGAAAATGAAGTGCCCTACAAATGAATACACGTTTTACCTTTTGAGAAAATGATGGCATATACACGAAATAATTTGCTTTTAAAATCTGAAAGATAAGTAGATAAGTAATAGAGATTGAAATAAATATATGAAACACTCTTCTGACTCTCCGTCTTCTCTGCTGGGCCAAGATAACCCACTTCCTAAAAGAAAGCACAGGTGTCTTTCAAACAAATTGCATTCTACCTTGAAATACCCTGAAATACTTTCCTTCTGTAAAACGACAGTGAAAAAGAAACCAAAAAAAGTGTTTGGGTAACAAACGTTACAGAGATTTACTTCTACTATATCACGAGCTGCAATTTTTGCAGACATATGATGGGAATGTTTCCAAGGACAGATTTTGTTTTAGTTTTTGTGTTTCTCTTTACAGACTAGACGTTTTTTCGTAATAGGTGTTTTTTCCTCCAACACTAGAGGTTACAACATAATGCTTGTATCTTGCTAATATTCTATGGCAAGCAACTCGGTGCTTTTCTGGATCCAACTTTTTTTTTTTTTTTTTTTTTTTTTTAAGGAAATATTTGCCACAAACCTACTGAAGCCTCCACTCATCTCTGAGCAGAGCAGTCTGTTTGACAATCCTCTAGTTTGATTCAGGCAAAATCCGTTGCGGTGGCCTAAACAATTTCAAGGACTAATGAAGTTTCTCTGAAGTGAATGGGACAGACTGCAGAAGCAGGTTTGTCATCAGATTTGTGGCACTAGCCTCATGAGAGATGACAACAACATGCATTGGCCATCTCTTCCCACCAGCAAAGTTTTGATCTGGAAGAAAATCTCTGGCCACATTCAAATAAAACAAGTTAACCAATAAAACACAGTTCTCTTTAGAACAAACTAACTGCATTAACACAATACGACTTTTTAAATTTCATTTAGAAATTTCCCTCGGTTTTTACTCACAGCTTTTCTGCAAGCACTTAATTCTCCCTCAAGATTGCTCCAGGGATCCAAAGTAACAGAGCATTATTATGGCTTAGAGAGTATCACACATTCTGCTTGTTCACCAGTCTCCTTACCTGCCAGATTTGTTCTTCACTGAGTGAAGTGAGTCTATCACTTTTAAAAACCTCTCGAAGGAGACAGTATGGGAGTGCCAGGACTTCTTCAGGATGATTCTTCAATAGCTCAGAGAGATGTTTTACTAAGAAGTCAACCACTGCATTCTCCAACAAAGTGAGGTTGAAGAGGTCCGCAAGCTTATACAGGTCCAAGTAATTAAAACTATTTAATTCCTAAATGGGTGAAGCAAACAAAAAATATCTCAGAAAAAAAAAAGGGGAACAAAAAAACCACAGGTCTCAGATAATGAAGAAGGTTGTTCTTTTGGAAGCTGAGGAGAAGGAAGGTAATACAGTTTGAAATTAATTAACACAGATTCATTCAGAATGTATGTGCAAATGTTAACAGTGCATATGCAAATATATATGATACTACGCATTTATTTTGGAACTGCTACAGTTACATATGCATACAGCATCTATAAGAAATATGCCTTAGTACATAAAATAATAAACCAGCAGGATTTACACTGTATGACGAGAGCTCGCAGGAGTTAACAAGTGGATTAAAAAATGCATTTGTTAACTACAATAGTTTGTTACAAAACAATTGTTTCTCGTTATTTACTGTTCTGATAGAACTAGAGCATCTGTGCAGTACGATTTTTAGTTCCAAGAAACCTCACAAAATACAAGACTGTGAGCTACATTTTATTCTGTGTGCATTTATCTTCAATGAACAAATAGACCTTTCTTTTTCCACCCACTGACAGCAACATATAGGGGATGTTGGCCTCAAATTCTTTTTCCCCCTCCTTCTAGCAGCTGAAAACCTGCAGAGACAAAAGCTGCAGTAACTCAGGGAAAGAAGTTTTTGCATTCTGATAACAGGTAATATATATTTACAGGTTAATGTTTTTGTCTTGGCCCCCCTTGGAAATTAGTGTCTGGACAGCTAACTATTGCTACTCTAAACCACGGGCTCCTCATAATTCATCCACATTAGAGAAAAGCACCCAGGACGTTTGGGAAGGGAGCCCATGTATCCGTTCTTTCTGTTCTCGCTGTATGCTCACACATCTCTTCCTCTCCCCTCCACAATCCCGGTTTTCATCTTCCAATTTACCGCATTGCTCCCTCTCAGCAGCCTTCTCCTTGACCAGCTCCAGGTGTGAAAGTGACAAGAACTGTTGTCAGTTTCGCTCCGTGGTTCGTTAACACAGGGACTAGAGCAGGGAAGAGAAACAGACTGAATTAAGTCAATTTCACTTTCGCTGCTCTGCTGGATGGGATGGCAGAACCAAATGAAACTGACAAGAAATCTTGTAAATGTCAAATGAGCTGCACGGCTGGCAGATAGAGCAGAGCAACAGGGAAGATGGGAAAGTGCGAAGAGGGTTTTTTTGGAAGGTTTTATGGGCTACATCTCGAACGTGTGAATTGGGTGGCTGTCCCAATGACTGTGGAGCTGTTTATGCATATGCAATGGAGAGTGGAGAAAGAATTTTTTTCACCTGCTTAGAGAAGTCAGTACTGGAGGAAACTGAATCAAATTCCATCGCAGGCTCCTATTTGCTGCATTATCTCCCAACCTGAACAGTCCACCTCCACTAGCACTGTCGTAGATTAAAGGCAAATCCTATTCATTACCTACTTAAACTGCGACATAGGAGCTTCATTTTGTTTTCTTGGAAGAACAAAGAAAAGTTTTTTATGTTGTCAGAATAACCACTAACAGCCATCATCCCCCATGCCACAGAAATTCTGAACAGTTCTACTACATCACCTCCTCTTCACATTAACATAGAGGAGGTAAGGATAAATCCTCCCTAGTTGCAGACAGACAGACAGAAAGGAATGAATTTTACACAAGAAGTATCCAGCCTGTGCACTTGCTCCATGACTCAGTATCTGCAGATCACAAACAGCTCCTCACAACACCACATCGAGGATAGACACACAATGGTGGTACCAACATAAGGCAGTACGCAGTACAATCAAAGTGAATCACAGAATCATTAAGGTTGGAAAAGACCACCAAGATCACCTGGCCCAACCATCCCCCTACCACCACTATCACCCACTAAACCATGTCCCTAAGCACCATGTCCAACGTTTCTTTGAACATCCCCAGGGACGGTGACTCCACCACCTCCCTGGGCAACCTGTTCCTATGTTTGACTGCTCCTTCTGAGAAGAAATGTCTCCTAATTTCCAACCTGAACCTCCCCTGGCACAACTTGAGGCCACTACCTCTTGTCCTAAAACCTTAAAGCATTTAACAAGCAACAACTATTTTTTCAAAAAACTTCTTGATTGAATGAATGTGAAACATCCCACAAGAAATTTACAATAACTCAGTGTATATTTATTGAGCTCTTTTGTAGTAAACAGCTATATTTGGGAAGGATAAAATAAACAAATAAACAATGAAGCATTGGGAGCAGTGTTCCAACCAAAATACAAGCCCAACCACACTCCATTAAGGGTCAATGGAGGTGACTTATGGTGGTCTTCAGAAAAGGACTGAAGATAATACAGAAAAATCTTTCCTCGTTAGAGAGTAATGTGACACACAAATGCAAATTTTCCTTGAAAAATTTTCACATTTTCAAATCTGAAAGATACCAGTACACCTACATTTTTTTAATTGGGTATTTCTGATGATCCCTCAGGCTCCCCTACCCCTTAAATCAACACCAATTGAAGTTTTTGATGAAAGCTGTCATATAGTTGGAGAGGCTGAAGATACCTATGGATAAATAAATAAACTCTCATCAGCTGTTTGTTTACAATATTATTTATTTATTTCTATTTTTAAGTGTTCATTTACTCCAGATGTTTATTTATTTATTATATGTCTGCTTATTTATTTATCATGGGGTTTACTTATTTTTATTGGTAGGCTTCAGCAGTCTTTTGATGCTTTGTCTAACACAATGTGTTAATGAGCTGCTGGACACATGGTTTACTGCTTGATGAATACTGCAAGTATATTTTGTTAAAACTGATCTTGGCCTGTAATCAGAAACACCTATTTCTGGTTTTCCAAGGTTAGAATTGATCTACAGGTTTGTATTTCACAGCAAAAGTAGTAAGCAGTGCATTAGCTTTTACAAATGAAAATTACCAGACTGTCATACCAATATTCCAACCAAAATGACACAGTACTATACATTACTGCCTCTGTGATGATACAAGAGGGCCAAAATGTCACACTGAGATTGCAAGATGTATGCTACAGATCAGATAACCTAGCTCTCAATAGCTGGTAAGACTTTCAAAAACATCAGAATAAACGCAGTATGTAAGTAGCAAAAAAAAAATACAGCTTATCTCCCAGCTTTAAAAAAAAAAAGAAAAAAAAGTATTAAAAGTATCAAAGCAATCACTATCAATTCAGCCTGATTGGCTTCCTATGAATAGATTTGTAAAAGTTAAACTCTCAATTGAATTTAAAAATTGTTAGATAAGTGAAAAATTAAATAGGATACTAAATTGGAAATTTATTTCTTGTCATGAGTTCTAGCAGTCTCTGGTTTCCATACATTTTATTATAGTGTGTTAAAGGAGCAGCTACAAAATTTTAAAGTTGTGCACATCTTTCTTCTGGAACTGTATCATTGCATAAGGTCTCTAAAAAAAACCTACAAAACAGTTGTATGTACATTACTGTAACTTTTAATCTCTTGTATAAAAACCTTAAAATATATGCCATCTATATTTTTTTTAAATGAAGGATGAAATAGGAACACAAGCAGAACTGTCACAGAGAATCAGGGAAAGATAGTGATCCTTCTTTCTTCTGATAATGTTACACTGAAATATGCAAACTGAACAAATGTGTCTAATATATACAGATCTTTAAGTAACAGATTCTAAAATCTCAGAGAGTAGTCAAATCAATTTAATAAATTGGTCAAATTATTTATCAGTGTCTACTTCTAAAATGAGAAACTGTCTTTGATCCTGTGCATTCCACTTACTATACTTTCCTTCTCTTCCCAACTTCCAGAAGTAAGAGTCTCCATTGTTCTACATAACTGGCCTTCTGTTTCAGTAGCATCAGCCTCTAGATGCTGAACCAATTTAACAATGAGCTGCCATTTAAAACCCTTGTTAAAAAAAAAAAAAAAAAAACAGTTTTCCAAACAAACGTAATCTGAAAGACTATATTTGATATTCAAAATAAATGATGTGACATTGTCTGTGTTTTGATACAGAGTTGTATTTTAATATAGAGATGTGATAAATTGTCAAACAGGGAAAATTATATAAATATTGTATTTAAATTACTTCCAAATCCATCTTTATTCGTTCATACTTAAAGAATAATTGCATTGCAAAAGGTACAGAAAAGGATGTAAGTAACGGATTGATAAATTAGAGTTAATCATAACCAAGTACACAGTAGAGTACAATATACCTCTATTCCTCTGCTCCATGTTATAAATAGCAGAAAAAGCACAAGGAGAACTAAGGGGAAAGAATGCATTTCTTTATGACCTTATTTGAAAGATAAACTCCTTGGGGAAATACAATTTATTCAGATTATCAAGACCCTGCTGTGCAAATCTACAGTCTGGGAGCACACTACAGAGATCAAAAAATATTTACTTTATTCTGTTGGGTATAAAAGCTTTTAATGAATGCATAATTAAGACAGAAAAAGTATATACAGCTTTAGAAATTCCACTGCCAAGCCAAGCCATTAATATCCAAAGTATCATACCCAGTTGTAACTCCACCTGCTTCCTATTTAGATTACAACACTGTTGTAAATCAAGGTACTAAATGCCTAGCCCTGCTGCTAAAGCTGAGAGAGTTGCATTGTGACACTATTTTGTCTTCTCCTAAGAAGGGTTCAGCCTCTCTAAAACAAAAAAGGAGCTGTAAGGTCTCTGGGACACGGATGTGTTTGCTCTCAAGCAGCACCTAGCACAGCAGGGTCTTGACCCCAAGTCCTCCCAGTTCTCTCTATGTTAAATACTACGAACTAGCTGCACCGTTCACAACAGAACCTTGATGTAAGTCATAGCAAAGGCAGGCTCTAAATAGATCAGCAATACTAACAAAGTGGAAAACTGTAGTGATAAAAATATACTTACATGGCAACAAAAGGGATCAACTCAGTTTTAAGAGAAAAAAATTCATTTTTGTTGGTTCTCACTCTTTCTATATCAGCACAGTTACCCATAACCTTACTTACCTAAGACCTAACAGATGAGACACAT